AAGTTAGATTAAGGGATGTGTAATTTATAGTGTCAGTTTTGGTAATATAATTAAAGACAAGTGTACACGTCAATAAATAAATAAAAACTTTTTTAGTATAACTGACCACATTAATAAAATATATTATTAATCAATTAATTTTAGAGTATTGTTACCTATACTAAAGAGATCTAATAGATATTTAAAAACTTCATATGAGTTTTATTTATGTTATATGTTAGAATAGAATTGTTATGGATTTACTGTAGAATCCATTATAAATTGTACTTGAGTTGTTAAAAAATTCAAATTCAACTTACAACAAAATTAAATAAATTCTAGATTAGTTTTATCAAGTATATTGTTTTGGAATTTAAATCGGTTTAAGATTTAGGTTACTAGGATGACAACTCACGCATTTCTGCAATTGTACTAAATATTACCTAATTTCAAAGAGGATTGTAATAAATACTTCTCGAATGCTTTTGAGTATTGAAGAAATACTATCCAACTCCGGAAACTTGTCAGGACCCAATGAACATAGGTAGGTTTGAGTCAATTTTAATAAATTGAATTATAAAGTTAGTTTGTGTTTCAATATAAATGCATTGGCATTCACGATTATTGTATTTAACGGATCTTGTAAACCCTTAATACAAAAACCAAAGATTTCATGTGATATTTACATTGCCTATTAGGTGATTTGCTGTTAAGGTATTTGGAAAGCAATTCATCAAATGCATTACCAAATAAAAAAAAAAACAATCTTTAAGATTCAGTAATCAAATAAAAAGAGTTATAAAAAAATAAAAAAATAAAAAATAAAAAAAAAATAAAAGATAAAAAATTAGCATTTAAGCATTTGACAATTTATTATGATGATATGATGTAATTTGCTTTAACTATCGTCACGTCAATCGTACGACATACATATAGTTGTACTGGGATCTTCCAAACTAACAATATATTGATAATATTTGCTTACCTATTGAACAAACTATTAAACAAACATTAACCTGAACAATTTTTTAGATAAAATAAACTAATAAGTATAAGATATTGGTCATGCAACGATTAATATCATGAAATTTGTTTTGTCGGAGCAAATGATTGACTGACATGTGCCGCGTAGCGGCACGTTTCAGCCAATCATTTGCTCCGACAAAACAAATTTTGTGATATTTATCATCGCATGATCCAATATCGATGTTATCGTGCAATTATGATCATGATTTACGAGTCGTGGTTGGCTAACTGAGTTTTAATTCGGTATTGTTGTGCTTACGTAATAACGTACAAAAAATAACAAGAAGAAAAAAATCTATGATCATAAGAGTTTGCACGATAACATATTATATTATAACATTTAAATCACTAGTAGATTTAGGTTGCAGATCAATAAGATGTTTTTCTGTTTATAGTCTGAAACTTATTTTTACAAGTTTGTAAATTGGACCGGCTTGAGAAATCCTATTAGTTTTTCACATAAATTATTAAAAAGGCAAAACCTCATCCAAAATTATAAAAATTGATATATTACACATACATTTAAATTCCATTAAACATTTCAAAAAATGCAATTTATTTAATAAATTTTCTTTATATGTAAATTAAAATAGTAACATCTATTATTAATAACATGAAATTTCAGTATTAGTAGGTATACTTTGATTCCAATGAAATACATAATCAGGATCATATCTTCGTTTAATTTTCACCAGTTTTTCGAAATTTTCACCATAGTATCTACGTTGCCAATTATCCAACACTCTATCAATTAAATTCTGGTAACTTTGGTAATTGGTATATTTTCGTTGAAAATATGGGGAAAAAAGATCTATATCCCGTAAACATATTTCAGAAGTCACATCTAGTTTAATGCTATATGGTTCATAAAACCCTTGTGGATGAATGCAGTTTCATTTCTCCCAATCTCATTAACTCTTCCACCACCAAGTAGTAACATCTCAACTCAAAAGTTACACTTGAAACTTTCCAAAAATTTAATTAAATTTTAACTCCATCAGATAATTCAGCAGAATTAATAAAGAATGATTTTATTTTATAATATCCGGCACCATAAGCTGACTCATCATAACGAGTAAGTAAAGTGTACAAACCATCTTCAGTATATGGTATACTTTTAGGTTTAGATAAGGTCGGACCGATTTAATTCGGTGGTTTACGTTACCCCCCTTCTGCCTTCCCCCTCACTATATGTGCGGAAAATTTCGGAAAACTTTTATAATATCGCGGATCATTTCGGAGAAAAAATTTATAAT